TTTGATCCATATCTTTTTAATGGGGTACTATTTCATTTGGAAACATTTAGCTCCTTCTTCCCAAGGCTTTCAGCTTGTGTTCTTCAGATCAATAGGAGTGGTTGTGGTCATAAACGATGTAAAAAGCATGTTCCTACACCACCGTGTCTGAAGCATTGTGTCGATGTACTGAAGCTGTTAAACTACCTAGTCCAGTTTCAGTGATTTTAGAGTGACTACACATTTGTTATTTGAGTGTTTAGTGAGCTTTTAGTGCAAAGTTATTACCCTGGTTTTGGCTGAAATATAGTTCATTTTCTTCTTAGAAAGATAAATTGCTGTGTTTTAGATTTAGTATGAGAATAATGTTGATAACACACTGATGTTTTAGTTTCTGCTGAGCAATGCCCATCCTAAGTCAAGGGCTTATCAATGTCTCATGCTCTGCCAGTGCAGATCTGCACAAGAAGCTGAGAGGGAGCATTGCCATGACAGCTGACTTGAACTGGCCAAAGGGATTCTTCATACTGTGTATAAACTGGGGAGATTGGGTCACAAAGGGCCAAGGGTGGGATGGGCATTGTTCTGTGGGTGGTGAGCAATTGTATTGTGCACCACTTCTGTGTCTTGATTTCTATTTCCCTCTCTCCCTCTCATTCACTGCAATTACTGGTATTAATATTAGTATTTATTATTTCTAGTTTATTTTAATTTAGTTAAATTATCCAACCATTCTAACCCCAGCCCATGGGTGTCATCTTTTTGTGATTCTCCTGTCCTTTCCACCAGGGAGGAAGGGGAGTGAGTGAGCAGATGCATGGCACTTAGTTCCTGGCTAGGGTTCAGCCACAACAGCCATCACAGATATGTGTAAGCTATCCTTCCATCATAATCAGCTTAGAGTTTCACTGTATCAGTGGTCTAAGGGTGAAATGTAAAGATATATTTTGCTAGCTGATTACCCATAAATGCATGTTTTACCATAGCAAGGTAAAATAACATTCCTTACAAAGAGAAAGTGAGGGTTTGGGTTTGAAAATTCTGTTCCACCAGCATTTGATTCCATTTAAAAGGTAAGTACAGCATGCAAAGAGGAAGCCTTCTAACATGTATATATATTTTTAGTCACTGTGTTCACTGGGATGTCATCCAAATAGTGATAGACTCTGACAACCCTTTATAAAATGAAGATTTATTGATGCAGTAGGGATGATGAGCAACAACTCACCCATATGATGACTCCTTCACAATGAATGATATGGGAGCAGCTTACTTTCTTTCCATTTAATCCCAGTGCAAAACAGAAATATATGATTTTACAGACTGTGTTGGGTTTTGCTGTGTTAGAGGTACTTTTCTTCCCAGTGGCTGTTATAAGGTTGTGGTTTGGGTTTTTGCTGAACACAAGGCTGATAATAGAGGTACTTTGGTTATTGCTGAGCAGTGCTTGCACAGAGCTGAGGCCTTTTCAGCCTTTTTTGTATTGGAACACTGGTGAGGAGATGGGGGCATGCATGCAAAGATGGGAGGAGGCACAGATAGGGCAGCTGAGCAAAAATGAGCAAAGGAATATTCCATACTGTATAAAATAATGCACAGTCTATAAACCTGGGGGAAGCAGGAAGACAGAGGGTGACATTTGGAGTGATGGTGTCATATTATGTGTGATGGGGCCTGGCTCTCCCAGAGATGGCTGAACACCTGCCTGCCCATGGGAGGCAGTGAATTCGTTCCTTGTTTTGCTTAGTTTGCATGAGTGGCTTTTGCTTTCCCTCTTAATCTGTCTTTATCTCAACCCACAATTCTTCTATCTTTCACCCTTCTGATTCTCTCCCCAGTCCTGCTGGTGAGAGAGCAGGCAAGCAGCAGCACGGGGCTTGTTTGATGGCTGGGTTAAAACCACAACACAGACATACACAAATGCATGCATGTTTGCTGTAACTTAAATGATTCACACAGGACTGACTCCTGTTAGATTTAATTTGTAATAACTTTGGATATAAGTGTGTACATTTCCATATTGTGCTTGTAAGAAGAATCTAGGATCATCCCATGGAAGAAATTAACCTAAATTTCAAGTTTAAAATTCAAAATTCAATATATTTTAAACAGTTCAAAGTTGCATTCCATCTAAATTACCTATCCTTGCCACACTCATTCCTATGTTTAATGGACTCTATTTTTAATTTTTTAATTTTTTTTTTAACTGGGTGAACGCCAACATATTCTCTTTGTGGGCAGCTAAACACTGTTAGTTCAGTATTTGAATGGTGATCAAACCATTCTGTGTGTCTCTGAGAAAATCCTTTCTCTCCAGTGACCTCTTTTACTGAACCTCTTGTACTGAAGTTTTAAATCCTATACCCAAAATGGAAATGTGAAATAAAAATTTTAATGAAAAATCAAAATACTAAATGTCTTCCTTTCCCTTTTGCTTTTCTTTTCCCTCACTTTCATTGTTTTGGTTGGGTTTTTTGGGGGGGTAGTTTTTTTAGTTTTTTTTCTCTTGAAAAGGTTGTGCGTGTTGCTTGAGTAAGCCTGATATATCATAGAAGCTTTTCCATCTGGAAAGGTTTTACTGTTCCAAATCTCCAGACTCCCACTGGTCTTAACTTTCCAGTATATTAAAGCCATAAAGCCAGTTTAACAGGTGCAGTAGGATTAGTTCAGTAAAGGGGGGATTGTCTGATAATGGAGAGATGCCATAGCAATGTATTTGCTTCCCCATTTTTTTTTTGGCATTGAAGAGGTACACATGGAATAGATTCTAGTCCTCTCTTCCCTGTTTTTCACCAGTTTTTGGCTTCTAAAATTCATTTTTGGACTCACTGGCTGAGGGCAAAACTGTAAATGCACAAGAGCCATTCTAGCTTACTATAAAATCATAGAATATGCTGAGTTGGAATAGAGCCATCAGGACCATCAAATCCAACTCCTGGCCCTGCACAGGATATCCCAAGAATCACACCATGTGCCTGAAAGGCTTGGTCCTGTGACTACTTCCCTGAGGACCTCCAGTGCTCAACCATCATCTGGGAGAAAAACCTGTTCTCAATATCCAGCCTAAACCTCCTCTGACTCAGCTTCATTCTATAAATGCTAGTATTTGAGCAATCATAAAAGCAATTTTAAAAAGTTTTAATTTTTTTTCTTTAACACTTTGTTTCTTTCCTATTTAATGTATTGCAACCCTTCTTTGGATGTATCCTGTAATTAAGTAAAATTCAGAAAACAAAAATGGAAAGGGGTAAGAGATATGTCCTTGCAGTCCTGAATTTTTCAAAGCATGGACATAAAAAGAAAGGTGAATGTCTTGGAGTTCCTGAGCTCTGGCTGGTACTGTAGATTTAAAACAATGATTCTCTGATCTATAATTCCACTATTAAATGTATTTCTATTAAATTTTTGATGAAACTGAAACTAAATCATTACAAGAATAGCTAAGAATATTTTTCTTGTAATTTGTAAATCCATATCCATATTTCTTTCTCCTGTGAGGAGATAGGTGTGTAATCTTCCTTATGAAAACTATTTGGGAGGAAAAAATCTGTAAAATAATTATTTAGATAGAGAATATTATCTATCATATATTTAAAACAATCAGCTTTTTAATGACATCTTTAAATGGAAATCTGTTAGAGAGCAACTTGCTGAGCATTGAAAGTCAAAATGAGCTTTCACTGCACTGTCATTACCCTGGAATGTATTGTTACTTCTTGAAAGATTCTTGGAAATTCCATATGTTCATTTATTATAACATGAAATCTTACTTTTGAGAAAAACTAAGGGAGAAAAAAATAAAAGGTGAAATGTCCTAGAAATGATGTGTCTATATCTATCTGTCTGCCTACCTATGTACCTATCTCAGACATGACTAGTTGTACAGACATGGAATCACAGATGTTACTGTGTCTTACCAACTTCAGCACTATCCAAGGTATTCTAACCAATTTTGCAAGTTCCCTCTTGTACAAATATCTGTTCTGTACTTCTAAAGCACAGCAGATAAGATTTCTGATTAACAAGTGTTTCAAGCAGGTTTATGTACCTGCAAAAATAGAAGGTGAAAAAAGAGCAATAAAAGCCCCAATCCTGCAATTACAGCTCTGATAGCAGACTCACACAGCCCTTGTCTGAGCCCTTTATCTCTAAAAACCTAGAAGTTAACAAAATTCCTGCAGAAGTGGAACCTGTACATGCAGAACCAACCACAGAATAAAGGCCACATAGATGCTTTCAAAAAAGTACACCTAGAAATCTGCTCATTGAGTTGCTCAGCCAAAAGAGGTAGCTGCTTGTGAATTTTCTTTTGTATTATATTCTTCCAGTAAGGTTTTCTTCAGTGGGATTAATTTTATTTATTATTAAAATTTAGCTGGTACTAATAAGCACATAATAAGTAGTTCTGCTGCAAAAAACCCTCAGCATAGTATTTTGCTGAGATATGGACATTATGCATTACAATGTGCTTCACAAATTCCAGAAATACACATAAGCCTGTTCTGCAGTACAAGGATCAGATTGACAAATATTCATGTTTAATAGGTGTGTGTACCTTTTTCCAGGAAATTGCTGTTAATAGAACATCTTGGTATTTACTTTCAGTGTCTCTGCTCTTGTTCAAATCCAACACAAGTCAGGGGTACTTGCCTTCTAAAAATCTGCAAGTCATTTTCAATTTATTTGGCACCTCTGAAAGAAGTCTCATCTCAGGAGACCAGGGGTGGAATAAGCAATGAAGATTGAACTGAGCATTCACCAAAAGAAACAATTCTTCCATATTCGACTTGCAGACCAATTACTTTCCCACACATTCATTATTCTGAAGTCAATTGCATTTTGGAGCCTAACTTCTTTTTCAGTTTAGAAATTGAACTATGGCCCACTGAAGTAGTTTGTCATAGCCTTGGCATAAGAATTTTTTCAGAGTCTCATATAACCATGTAGGTGAATCATTCTGGCTTGAGCATGGATTTTCAGACTGCTGACAGATATTTGATTTAATCCTTTATTGTAAACAGCTCCCAATCTCCAAACAGTATTGACTGATACCAAGTTGCAGAGTGTGAGCCCCTCAGACCAGAACCAGAGAGCAATGGAGTGATAGCAACCATGACATGACCGAAAGCAGAGAAAGGGTGAGTGAACAAGAACATAATGATTTTTTTTTATCATATAATAGCGCTTTCTTGTGTGAACAGCCTTTAAATGTCATGTTGTTAAAACCATTTTGCTGGAACGTATCTGGCCAATGTTTCATTAGAAAAGTGGTGTTGATTTAGCAGGTTTGATAAACCAAGTCATTGAGGTCAAGAAACATTTTGGTTAAATGTAGGGAAAGATCAAAGAGAAAAAAAAAGCAAGCAAAAAACCAAATTTAAAAAAAATGCCCAAAAATAAACAAATGCAATATAACATGAAAATTATGAGATTTTATGCCAAATAAAAAAAAACCTTACTAATTTATTAAAAATTTCTACTGCCTAATTTTCTGTTTGAACGCAAAATCAGAAAAATGTCTGTTTCAGAACATGCTCTTCTTTTTTTATTTTACTTAATTTTTCAAACTGACTAGCACCATACTAATGAATTTTAAAAGTGCAGGTGCTTCAACATCTGTCTATGCCAAAGAAAATTCTTCCAGGGTATTTCCAAGAGCCTGTAATGAGTCAAGTCTTGAGGTTGCTGTTAGAGAGCTATTTGGAAAGCAGTCTAGGTAGACTGACCAAATCCTGTGTTAGGTTCCAGTAATCATGGGAAGCAATGTTGGCAATATGTGTGGAATCTTTGGAGTTCCCTTAGAAAAAGAAATACTTTTCTTCTGTTGCAGACGCTGCAAATACCATGTTTGTTTGTTTTTTAGCTGAAGTGTTTAATATAACAAAATATATGGTTGAACTGCCTTTACCTAAAAGCTGGTTTTGCATGTCTGTATATCCACCTGTCTTTCTTTTTTTTGGACTATGACAAAGACACATTGTCATTCACATGGCTTGTCTCTCTGATGATTGCATATTCACCTTCCACAAATATGAGTTGCTTGCTTTTTTTTTTTTTTAATGAAAATTCCATTGGGTTGACTCACTGCTACAGGATTATATTTTTAGAATGCTTAGTTAGTTTTTACCCTCTCAGCAATGCTAGAGTAGTTGATGCTATATCAAATTGACAGTGCTTAGAGGGAATTAAATATTTTGAGAGTTAAGAGAACTCTCTCCAGGCCAGCATAATGATTAACAACTCTCTCAATCTGATCTGTCTTCTTTGGTGTTTTTTCTTGAGGTAACTTTGATACCAAGGGTATTCTCTGACAAGGAAGAGCTTAAATTCACTGCTGTGAATGTTTGCCCTACTCATGTGCCCAGCTTCTCACAGTGTCAAGCATCAGCTATGGGGACCAACTGATTTTAGACATGCTTCTTTCCAGTAGAGAAGATACAGAAAAAACAAGTGAAAATGTAGTAGGTAGTACTCACTTTATCACAACACTGAAGTGTGCTCAAGTAAAGCACTTCAGGAAAACTGAGGTACATTCATATCATCTTAATTTAAATGGATAATTACATGTATAAATATTAGAGCAATGGCACAAACAGATTAAAGTATACCAAATATTTGATACCTCATGTTGTGAGGTAAAATTTGAAAATAAAAGCTGACAGATTATAAAGTACCCCTCTAAAAAAAGCAGATTCTGAGGAAAGAAAAAGCCGACCCTGGACAATTTTTCTGAAACATGTTTCACTAGCAGCATTTTCTTGATATAATTTTGATCATAATATGAATGTTGAATTAAGTAAAATAAGACTGGGTTTGTGTCCTCCTATTATCTGATACAAACACACTTTTACTTTGCCTTCACCTGCATGTGTCTTTTGGAATGACTTTGATAGGCCCTGTTTGATTGTCAGAGAGGCATGGGCAGAATTTTGAACACTGTAAACAAAATATATTTGAAGTCTGAGAGGGAAGAAAACCATATGAATTTATATAATGCAGCTTTTCCCTGCGTCAATCCATTAAAACATTAGATAATTTTTTTTTCTTTGCTGTATCTTTTAATCATGTTCACCTGTTTCACAGGGAACATATTCAACAAGTCATTATGGCAAAAAAAGTGTTAAATATAAGATTAACTGATATTGAAATCAGTAGCCAAAAAGTTAGCAAAGCTATGTTTCTATATTAAATTATTACCGTATTCCTTAACAATAAGAGGGAAATGTGGACTATTCAAATATAAATTAAAGGAAGGGGCAGAGTGAAGAACAAGAGAAGAAACAGGGTACTGCTATGTTTACAAAGCCTTGAAACATACTCTGTTCAAAAATCAATTTCTGTCTCAATCAGTAAAAAAGGCTGACTTCAACCAAATGATTTGAATGTCAGAAGTGATCATTATTTTTTCCTTTTTTAATGCAATTGCACTTATTAATATATGTTAATTAAGCACATTGTAGGATAACTCTGAGTTTTGCAGTAGTAGTATCTATATTCGTCTAGATTTGAAGTATCTATATGTGTCTTTCACTGTACATGTTTTTTCCAGCAAGTTATGTGCAAGTTTTTTACCTCAGAAAAAGGATCCAAAATAAACCCTTCAGGGTGTACCTTGAATGACTTCTGGCATCATGCATAGCTTTTTATTTCTAATGGGAGGAAAAAGGAAGGACATGATATATGTTCTTGGACACTTCTAAGATATGGAATGTAATATGAAATAAACAACTGAAATTAACATTAATTTTAATTCTGTTTGGGAAGAACATAATGCAAATTCCCAGCATTTTGTGCAGTGGGATAGGCTAGTTTAGCACGGTTCACCCAGTGTCTCACAAACAGGAAAAAATGTGAAACCACTATGGGAAGGGTTAAAGTGGATTGTGGCCGACTTGTATTTCTAAATCTATGTTTTTTGACTTAAATTCAGTAAAAAAATAGGGCTTATTTTAATTCTTCAGAGGTTAGATTCTTCTGAGTGGGTTTCTGGGTAAGGTAGTTGTGATGTGCAGTCATTTTCAAAAGCTATTAGAAAATATTTTAGAAAACCAGCATCAATAGGAAGACTGTTCTGAAAGATGACTGCTTGTCTGTAATTAGCTGTATTTAAAAAATTTTTTATATTTATCCAGATTCAGAATGACCTCTGGGACTTGACCAAAGATGCTTTCAAAGGTTAAGCAAAGTGCCTGGGGTGGGGGAGGGAGGAGGAAGCAATTATTCCCTATTTTAGCCTTATTAACCTCTGCCCTCCAAGAAGGAATAATGTATCTTAAAAAAATACATACACAGGCACAGATGCAAAAATATAAATGTTTATAAGTACCTTTACTTTGGGAAAATTCACTTTCACAACATATCTTTCTCAAAGAATCACTGTCACATCCTCTGCAGTGTCAAGTCTGTTGACAGCAAATATCATCATGACTGTAATTTGTGAGTCATTCTGCCAGCTCCTGTCTGGTAAAAGCAAACTGTCCTTGAACACTGAATATTTTTTCCTGCCACAAAATGGCCAGCGATTCTCTCCTTAGCATAGGATCCCCAGGATGTGAGGAAATTAATCTAAGACAAGATAAACTATTCTCTTTTCAACTACAGCAATCCAGATAATTCAATATACCAATCATATCTGATCTGGCTATTTTACAACCCAAATGTGACTGGATTTCCTACAGTTGTACTGATTTAATACAGGAACTGGTAGGCTGTTGAAGAAAGATAGCATTAACCTGAAAAAAAATATGGGGCAGTCAAAATAATTTTGTTGACTTCAAAAGTGTTGACTGTAAGGCTTTCTCACTGGACTTATAGGTCCTAAGGGAAGGACCTATAGGTCCTACCTTCCACAGCTTGGTAGCACATGGAAAACATAAAGCGTAAATACAGGTCCTAATTATTACTTCATGTTTCTATTTCCATGTTCGTTACTGTGCATTTGTGGAGTAATACATTAAGAAATAAAATATAGCTTAAAATAGTTTTCACTATACATGCAGAAAAAGTTTTATTTTTCTTCAGGACAAACAATGTCATCCCACCTGAAAGTTTAACATTGATGGATTCTATAAGGTTTCCCAATTCTGTCACGTAGATGTCATTAAAGACCAGGATGATCATTGGGGCCATATAACATCTGCCTCTGCTACTCTTTAAAACATTAACAAATAAATTCTAAATATAGATTTAGTATAGCCACAGTTCCTATTATTTTTCCATCTTCTCCAGGGGTTAAACCATGTTAAAAAAAAACCAAAAAAAAACCCACAAAAAAACAATCACCTGCTATATTCTCTGAACTAGTGAGTTGTGTGATTGTTTATTTGTTGTTTTTTAAAGTTTGGTCCATAATGCCTCTGTTTTTCATGTTTGGTTTGATTTAGTATTTTAGAATCTAACTTCAGCTTTTAAAACTTCAAACAGAAATGCCATTAGGTGTGGAGCACAATTTTAAAAGGTTAATAGCTGTTTGCACATTGGTATTTTTAGCAATACACCCAGTCATAGCCAAATAGCAGCTATTTTTCAAGGATCAGTAAAAATATTATTCTGTGCTGAATGGGAAGGCTATTTTCTGACATTGTACAATAGCAGCAGTGCCAAAGGAAAAAATAAAAAAAAAAAAGGAAGGAAAGAAAATTTACTGATCTATAAATTTTGGTTTAAATTACTGCCATCTATCTAGAGATTATTCTGGAAATTTCTCTTTAACTAAAGTAATGAGAAAATTTCAGTCCTATGATTCAGGCCCAGAGGACAAAGCAGGTTTCCCAACTCTCCTTTTCTACCCTTTCTTATGTCCAAGAAATTCTGCTCTGGTGATGTCCACTGGGGATAAAGGCAACTAAACAGAAAGAAACCAATAGGTGGGGATAAGATATTGCTTTCCATTTGTTCTTTCATTACACTTTTTTTTATTAAAAAAAAAAAAAGAAAGTATATCAGAAATTATTTTAAAAAATTGGAATTTCCTTGATGTGGGAAAGTGTGGGCAGTATTTGTATGCCTTCTTATAGAAAGCAAGAGCTTCCAAGGAACAAAAAAGTGAGAATCTGGAGCAGAAAGAAAACAGATCAGAGACTTTTAAACAGCATCTTGAGCTCTGAAGAAAGATTGCAGTTTAGTTTCCCTTGAGCTA